TGCTCGCCACCTAGTGATCAAGACTTGAAGTCATAATGATCTATGGGTTCAAATCACGAAGTCTTAGGTATAGACATTTTTTGATTTATAGAGTCACTCACCCAGTGATTAAAAGCATACCAGTGAATGAAAGCACTTTTTTAAACAAAAATTAACAATTGATAACGACATTATTCATGAACGACGAATTTTTATGCTACTCTTGGGTATTATTGCTAACTATTCAAATGGTTATCAGGTCCACAATCAATATAGTTTAACGATAGGAATTAATTTACGAAGGCATCGTTCGCTGAACCGTAAAATACGGTCATTTTGTACATCATCGCTAAAGATCGTTAAAATTTGGAAGATCCACTGTAAAAGAATGAGCAGCTCAAACCCTTTTATAACGGACTAGTTACCTTTAAAACTGTCATTTATATGTTAAACAATTGCATTTCCTGTGAAAAGTCAAGTTACAATAAGAAAATTTCATTCCTTTTCAACTTTCATTTAATGGTGTGGTGAATAGTTCACACTTGCAATGATAGTACAAATATAAACATATTTTGATTGGAGTTTTGAACCAATCTTTATCTATGCGGTCTTAAAATGTTTGTAAAATGAAACAGATTTTTAAAAAAGATCCCTGAAAAATCACCAAAACTTGTCCTACAATATGAGAAATCATAACATAACTTTGAAATACTTTAATTATGTCATTTAACACAGGTGCCCTTATTTTAATCATGGTAATAAAGAGGTTGGTTTGGATGATAAATTTATGTTTTAGTTTCTTATTCAATAAAAAAAGTGATATATTCTCTATACAGTCTATAAAGAACTCTACAGTCTATATTGATTATCAAATCAACGTATGCTTATATTTGTACATTCATTTACTCGTTTCGCAGTTTTCATTCACTGGATTGAATGTTTCATTCACTGGTAAAGCACGTTTTTTTTCATTTTCATGAACTTTTATAAATGAAAAACTCAATTGAAAATTCTGTAAAAATTCTAATAGGTAGAGGAAGGTATGAACTTTGACAAACTATTGGTTCGATTACTTGAAATTGACTAAAAACATGCACCTGAGCTGTTTGAAAGCAGAATTTTTCTAAATCTTTCAATCACTGGGCAAGTGACTACCATTTCTTTTATTTTGACACTTGCAGATTAACAGATGATGTTACTCGTCATCTATACTGGTGTAGACTCAAAGTGGTATCATTGTATTTAAAATGGCTAACAACCAGTCTAAATTTTTTAAACTATTCCATTCAAACGATACTGAATATTTCTAACATAATTATTGCACATAATTATACAAAAGAACCGCCAAAATCAACCCCATTAATTCACTTACTCAATTTTCAGTTATTAGTCCATTATTAATTTTGAGTATTTTTACCAGGATGAGAATGATTAATTTGTCTTTCTCTTCATATACCGAGTTATGTTCAAACTCAGTTTTAAATTGTTTACTGATTTTCATCTACAGCAGTTTATTATCGTTCAAACTGGCCCATTCCTCAAGAGCTACACTTTTTGTCTTTTCACCGTGTTTGCGCAATTTCAAATAGAATTTTCAAGAAGCTACGCGCGTCCAAAAGGAGAACGAGTCAAGCTGCAGCAAAAGGCGAAAAAGGGCTGACGTAGCGAAGAAAAAGAAACGTAAGAAAAAAAATGATAAACAAGTATACAACTACGGAGGAAGAGAAAAGGAAGGAGCGTAGTCAATCTGATATTTTTCTGCGAAACGTCATTAGGCCGCGGGAGGCCAGAGCGAGCGCTCGCTCGCTCCACAGTATATAGTCGAGAGTCCCGGAGCCCGGACGAGTAAGCCAGAGCGAAAGAGAGAGAGAGAGAGAGAGAGTGCGAGAATCGCACTATTCCCCTTGATGGCGAAGAAATCGAATTTCATGGAATTTCAAGACATCATTATAGCCAAGAGGCTAATAAAGATCCCGTTGATGCAGCATGACGCAGTATACGAGAAGCGCACGAGGCCTCGAACCGACGTTGCCGCCGCCGCCGCGTGTCGCGTCGCGAGCGACGATGATAAATACTCGACAAGACTATGGCATAAAACTCGGACGCGATCGTCGGCTACGCTGCGACGTGCATAATGCGCGCAATTTTTTTTCATCATAAACGATTTGGAATTAAGAAAATCAACATTATAATTGTGCACGAGGCATCTCGTGTATGCGTCATTCGAACAAAGCGCAAATTGTTAAAATCGACTTCGATATCTCTCTTTGCGTTGTAGCATCGGGCATCTAGGACGCACTCCCGATTCAAAAAAAAAACTTTAAAATCCAACTGCCGATAAAAGGCTCATTCGGTCATTCCGATGCAGTTTATTTTTGTCACGGTATTCGATGGAAAGAAAGACAGAGAGAACGGAGAAGGAGGCGGAGGGCCAAAGCTCGAACGCGAGCGGCTATAATTATGATTAACGAGATGTTGAAAAGTCTCTCGGGCGACGGAACGAAATTAAATATTACATACGTATACGTATACGAGCCGCGTGTATTACATTGTCGAGGCGATAAAAATGTCATAACAAATGAACGAGGCACTCGACTAACAGTTTACGCGGCGCGGGCATATTTATCGCGGGTCCGGCGTCGCGTAAACACGTAAGCGCGCGCTCAATTTTTTCAATTATTATTTTATTCGAGCCGATTTAAAAAGAAAAAACATCTCAACTCTCTTGTTAAAGTATTTATCACGCGCACACATACACATGGCCTTTATCGACGCCCGCGCGCGACCGCATGTTACCAAGTAAAGCACGTATATCTAAGCTCTTGAATGAGCGTATAATATACGGGACCGTTGCCGATCGCCGCGTGATTTCCTTGCCATGCCAATATTGCAATGAGCTTACGCAAAGTGCAGCTTGCACAGTATGAGCACTTGGATCGCTTGCGATATTGGCCCGCGTGTGTGCGTCGCGTTTGGATATTTAACGAGGAATGAAAAGTCGATTTATTCTACGGAAGGCACCTGGCGCTTTAGGGATTCTCGCGCGAAATAACGTTAACCTCAATCGTTGGGTCTAGAAGAAGGGCATCTCGTATAAACAGAGCTAAGTTTTTGCTTAAAAAAAACTGAAGCTAAGCTTCGTTTGTAGATTTTGAGAATATAACTGTGCGCCACGTAGCGCTGACTTACTCAACTATATATTTCACGTGCCTGATATTTATTTCTCGATATTTATTTCTAACGTGTCCGGTATCTTCAGTAGCGTTGCCTTTTTCTTGCCATGTTCTCTCTCTCTCTCTCTCTCTCTCTCTCTCTCTTTCTCTCACTTATTGCGCGCCTCGTGCCACACTGGCAGCTTTACCTGACACTATAAAGTAAACCAAGCGAGTATTGCCATCACCGATGCTACTACATACTCCTGCTGCTGCTGTTGCTGAATGGCGCGAAGCAAGTCTATTTCTAGTTCTTCGCGAAGCCGATAATCACGTGTATTTGTGTGTGTGTGTGTGTGTGTGTGTGTGTGCGAGTGTGATTGGCAGTTGCGATAGCACTCGATCGCGCGAGGGGGCCCCTTATTAGGAGATACCTCGAACAAATGTACGACACGGTGTATCCTTATATATTATTTTGCCTTTTCACTGCCTTTTCTCTCTCTCTCTCTCTCTCTCTCTCCTCCACATGAGCTCTCGAGATGTCCTCTTTCTCGCACGTACACATATATAACTCCGCGCGGGCCTTTGGGTATTGTTCGGCTCCGCAGCGCCCCGGCACTTGTACAGTTATAGACATTCGATCTCTTTGTTTTTCTTCTCTTATATATATCCATACGTCGTTAAGCGTGTATATAGATATATTCGGCTCGATCCGCGAACTCTGCAATACCACGATTTTCTCAACGCGCCTAATGAAAATGTATACGCCAATGTAATCGATAAACATATTATATACCGGAGCGTTACGCTCCTACATATATAGGCAGCGAATCTTATCTGCATGGTCTGAACGATATGAGTCGAGTACACGCATGCAGTTGTGACATCGCTACGACTCGCGCGCAGCCAACATTCGAGAGATCGTCCTTGATGCGCTCGAGCTATTACGAGGATACGAGAGATGCGATCTTCGATTCTATAGTATTTAAACGTACTTAACGCCTCTGGAGCTGTTTTTGGATTTGAATTTCATGCCCGCGAGTATCGGACACGATCTGTGGAAAGCATCCAACCCATGAGCATCGTTGTTTCTAAAACTAAATTTTAATACTATGTACGATGCACTAAGCTCTTACACTTTTGAGCTTCAGTAGCGCGACGATGCCCAATAGGTTATGTAACTTCGACCCTCTAATTTTTTACTCGTCTACACTAGTCTCTTGTGCTGTGTAGCAAGTCTGTATCCTTTTTTCAAAAAAGTGATGACTCTATTGCGATCGGAATAAACATTTTATAATTGATTGTTGGTATTTGATAAATGGCGTACAATTAATTGAAAATGAGCTTTACTTATAATTTGCATTTTTCAATACACGATTAATGGCATGCATTCATAGTGCGGTGTTGAGGTATACTTACGGTATTTAGTTGATCAGAGTAGAGTCACAATTGCAAAATAATATCCTTTCCATCATTAGCTACACTATGTACTTTGCGTCGGGTGAGTTCAATTGACACTACTTGCAGAGCTTTTTTAACAACAATGCAATTGTTCAATGTTCCGCGGGTACGGAAATCAATTGAGGGGTTGTTGGGCAATTATTGCCTCAAAGCCAGGATTTTCTAATATAGTGGACTACCGTTAAGAAGCGGGTATTTGGGGAAAGTTCAATTGATAAATAGTATATTGAAACATCAGTTTAAGTTAAGATTTTAGTTTATGTATGATGATATAATAAAATTTCGAAATATTTTATTGTTCTTCACAAAATTGAAGGATATACACATGTAAGATTTTCCAAAATTATGCAGGGTACTCATATGATTGTAAAAGTCTTTTTTGTACACAAATGTCTCCAAACACATTCAAAGGGTTTGGTTTGATTATGTACTTCATCTGCGTGTAATTTGAGATGATCCTTGCGGGTGTATGATTTATGACAAATTTCCCATTCGAAAAATTAGCTTGCACCTATATGTACTCGCTTAATATGTCTTTTCAGTAAATTATGGTATCCAAATGATTCGTGACAAATTTCACACTCATAGGGTTTTCTTCGATTATGCACGGCATCCACGTGAATTTTGATGTGACCTTTTTGTGAAAACGACTCTTCACAAATATTACATTGAAAAAGTTGGCTACGATTATGTACTGCATTTATATGCCTGTTTAATGTATACCGGTATCCAAATGATTTGTGACAAATGTCACATTCTAAAGATTTGCTCCGATTATGTATTGCATTTATATGAGATTTGAGGTCACCATTGCGACCAAATGATTTGTGACAAATTTCACATTCGAAAGGTTTGCTTCGATCATGTACTGCATTTATGTGAATTTTGAGGTTTGCTTTCAGTCCAAATGATTTTTGACAAATTTTACATGTGAAGGCTTTACAACGGTTATGTACTACAATTATGTGGTCTTTGAGGGTACCTTTTTTTCCATAAGTTTTGTGGCAAATGTCACACTCGAAAGGTTTGATGCGTTTATGTACTATATTCACGTGACATTTGAGATTACTCTTGTATCCAAATGATTTGTGACAAATTTCACATTCGAAGGGTTTAATACAAGCATGAACTGCATTCATGTGAACTTTGAGGGTACCCTTTTCTCCATAAGTTTTGTGGCAAATCTCACACTCAAAGGGTTTGTTGCGACCATATACTACATTTTTGTGCGTTTTGAGTCGGTCCTTGCGACCAAATGATTTATGACAAATCTTACACTCGAAGGGTTTGCTCCTATCATGTTCTGCATGTATATGTTGGTTGAGTATTTTTTTGCATTCAAATGACGTGTGGCAAATTTCACATTTGAAAGGCTGCAATCGACAATTCACTGCAAATTCAATGGATATGCTTTCATTTATATCGGTGGCCTGATTTCCGTTTTCTATTTTCACAATTGGTTGGCAACTTTGATACTCGGCTTTACAGACGGTTGTCGGTAGAGACTTCAGTTCCGGTTTAACAGTTTTGCACTCAAAATCAATGATTATATTTTCATATACGTTATTCTGATTTTCGTTTTCGATTTTTACAGTTGGTCGATTATTTTCATACTCGGATTTGCAAATTGTTGTAGTTAACTTTTTCTGTAACGCCATATCCTTATTTATATAATTAATCTAAAATTCAAATTGTATTGTATAGTTTTCAGTAGTGAAAAATCAAATGTAGCATATATCATTGAACTTACTGATGATTTATTGAACGGGAATGTTTGAATGTTTTTGACTTCACAAGTTTTTACTGAATCGATATTATAGTCGTCGCCTGCATCTGGCCAAGTGTCTTTCGACTCTTCTTTCACCCTGAAAATTATTCACGTTCGATAAAGCGATTGATTGAAAAAACATCATGGCATGCGCAAGAAATGTAATACCTAACTATATCCTTTCTGCTCTCCATCACTCGTTCAATTATAATTAATCACTGTGAAGTTTGAAAAAATATTCCATCAGTGAGAAAATATTCGAGGTTATGCGCCTCGAGTAGCCAACTAAGCCTATACCTAGTGTACCTAGTGTACCTCGAATTTGCACTAATTTGTAAACACTTGCCTTAGGCAGGAATTTAGCTCCTCACTGGTGATTGAACTCACGACTCGTAGTCGCATATTATTTAACGAGGTGACCCCACGATTAAGATAGCTCCTCAACGATACCTTCTCCCTCTACCTAACAATGCGCAGTTATGTACACTGTGACACATAGAGGGACTCGTTCGAATTACACCAAAATTGTAATGAAAATGTCATTCATTCAGGCGCTTACGCAGATCGTGAGATTTATGCTGAGAACAATTATAAGAACAGAGGAATGTAACATTGCACCGACTCCGATATAATATATAATATTAATAGTATTCACTCGTGATGTTACTAATCAACTTCAATCATTTTTCGGAACATATTTTTCTACTCTTAAAAAAGGGACGAGACTTTGAATTCCTGATAACGTGACCGAGTACGAGTAAGCTTTGTAAGCGCTGACAGGTGCTAGTGCATATAAAAATCGCGCAGGATGATGTCAGATATAATATAAATGGCATAAGTCTTGTGGCGCGCCGTTTATTATAACTGCACACACAGACACAGACTGTTCGTGGCACTTGACCTCTCTCGTTGTGCGGCTTTCCCGCAGTCATCGTCGTTGGTCGTCGGTCGTCGGTCGTATAACGTCGCCACACTATTTTTCATAATATACTCGCATTCAATTATGATATTCCGCGCGGTATACACGGCCCCGCGGAATTTCGCGTCTATTTTTCTTGAGAAAAAGTAGCTGAGCATGTGCAGCAGGCATATCGTCGGTCTGTCGCTCGAGCTTCGCTTTGCGCTCGAGTCACTCGAGTGCTAGTAGTAAGTAGTAGTTGCTGTATCATTATTAATATTACTACCACTGGTACCGAGCTCGAGAGACTCGAGCGCGGGATATTTCGCAAGGGACACATACTCGCGCGGATTGATTGAATTACGTCATCGCGCGAGAACGGCTAATTCAAGCTCTCGCATGCAGCTTATAAACATAGCACACACATAGCAGCTATTTCAGCGGTCGAATGCATTTATCCAAGAATGCACGTGAAAGCGTCTTTAAAACAAATGTTTGTCCAGCTAAAGGTACCCTACAGTTTTATAAACACACACACACACACGCGCATGTGCGTTTTTGAGGTTCGGCGCTGCATGCATATTATATATATTTGTACGTGCCACGCGCAGGGCTCGCCTCGTGTGCTCGTGTATATACAGTGGGAAATATTCAAAACTTGTTTGAAATGTTCATTATTATCGCGTACATGATAAATAGTACAGCTCTCGCGCGATACTGCAGCGCCGCGCGCGCGAGTATTATGCGCGAGCTGTAATATTTATGGTGACTGCAGCAGCGCGGCACACTGGCTCGCGCGCGCCGCAGCCAGTTTCACATGAAAATTCTCAATCCGTTTGGGAATACTACATATCGTATCATATTATATTATACAGGCCGCGCGCGCGTTTTTCGTGCCCGGCGCAATATCGAAATTACTACTGGCGTGTACGTGTGTGTGTGTGTACGTATATAATGTAAAGCACACAAGAAAACGTCAAATAACTCGAAAAGCTATAATTTTCTAATGCGCCTTGCGAAACGTTTACACTCGTACGCTTACTCGGCAAAGCTGCATACAGTATCGCGCTGTATGTATCATGATACGGCGACTGAGAGATCGCTAAAAATGTATCGTGGCGAAGTTTCCTCGCATTGCGTGTAACGTAGGTATACGAGTACAAAACTGCTTGGCTGTATTTTGAAATCGCGAGGACTATTATGCAGGTGCGACAGCGAATATTCGCGAGTCGTGGACGACGCGCAGCTTAGCCGACTTTGGGTTGTGCTTTCTTGCGAGCTCCTATCTATATCATAAGTTCAAGAGTCCACGAAGGATGGTATACGTTATAGGAGCGAGCGGACACACATATCATGCAGAAAAAGAGCATACAGGCCGAACAGTGCAGCGATCAACGGCGAGAGACGTGACTGCGCGATAATGGAGAACGAGCCAGGCGCCGATGTATACGATATTGCTCTCTCCGTTGTGCGCCCTCGACGTACATACGACGGCATTCGGCAAAAGACGTACGGATGTGTGTATGCCTGTAATGAGTCTCTAAAAAAGCACGACGTACGTGTAGGTACGTGCTCTCCACCGGACTCCGACTGTACAAAAGGTAAACCAGCGACGTTAAGATATCGCTCGAGATGCGCGAAATGAGGGACAGCAGAGGCGGATCGTCCGAACTGTATACACGCCGGGGATGTGCACCATCACCGCCGCCACTGCACAGGCCGAGGTCGCGGAACCTACATCTACGGGCAGCAAATTCATCGCTGTTGCTGTTATTTGCTGCGGTGCACTGCCAGGCCTCGCTTATACGAGCCCAGCCGAGGAGGACGTTCGTATTCGCTCTCGCGAGAGCTCGTATGAAGACGTACGACCTGACTCAAGGAAAATGGCCTAGGACCAGCGCCTATTCACGCGTGCATGTCTGTGTAGAGACACTTATATCGCTATAGCTACATGAGCGAGGCCGGGCACACATAACGGCTCCAAATGTGTATGAGTGCGCGGCCTCGCGCGAGAAAATTGCTCGCCACGTATTATACGTATGCGCTGCTGCAGCCTCGCGCGTTACCTTGCCGAGAGTGCCTAACGGTTCGCGCGCCATAAGCCGTGTGGTTCGCTCCATGCACGTTATATAAATACTTGTGTCCAGAAGAGACCGAGCGAGAGAGAGAAAAAGAGTATGTACCTATATATACATACAGCTATGAGAGCTAAAGCGTCTCAATGGGCAGTACGACGATCGCGACGTATCGTACATATATGCAGCTGCCAAGCTGTATGATACTTATATGCGAAAGTAAAACGATCTCTGCATCACATGTGTGTGTGTGTGTGTGTGTGTGTGTGTGTGTGTGTATATGTGTACGCGTGTGAGCACCTATATTACATTTACGCGCCTTCGTGAAATGGCTCTGGCGAGAACCACCGTGCTATTATTGAGGTACGTTCGCGCGCTCGTATCGACGCCGCGAGAGAGTCAAAGCGAGCGAGAAAACTATGCATGCGGTACGAGCTGGCCGTGATGCTATAGGCCGATCGACGTCATCCGAACCTCTGCACTGTACTTACGATGTACTTTTTTATATCAAAACTACGTGTACGATGGGCATCTAGACGAGCGCCGCGTGGCAGCTTTTAAGCACGTTCCTATCTTATCTATTGTAATATATCGGCGTGACAATAAATTGCTTCGCTTCGAATTTCGCCTTTTTTTTAATTCAGTTGGAATTTTTTTGAGAACTTTGGGATATGAAGATTTAACCTAGAAAAATTGAACGAGCGACAGAGCGAGCTAGGTAATCTCAAAATAATATACTCCTGCGAATCAAATAAATTAATTCAATCAAATCACTAATGAGAATTTGAATTTTTGAAGTTTGTCCATGTTCTATGCTTTTTTAATTTAACATAATTTACATGAAATACGTGAACTTACACTTCAAGTTCTATCTAATTATAAAATAGATTTAATAACTTTCTATAAAAGTAACTACTACTCATTGTGTGAAAAGAAAATTGAAAAATGTGATCACACGAGATAACAATAAAAAAACTGGCCAATTATTTTTCTGTTGCAATCATCGATATATTCATATCGTTATTATCGTTCATTGTTACATCACGATTTTTATTTATTTTTGTCTTAAGTGAAAAGTAAATTGGGAAAATATCAAAAAATCTAGATCTAAATAATACTCTAGTTCTAATTTTACTTTGGTTACGTTATGATTTTTGAAATTTAATGTGTACCTAGAGACAATAAAATGTTTGAACCAGCTGCATCATGGTCACCGCCACAGCTTTGCACGCATTAGACGGCCCGATTTAATCTAGAGATAAACCCAGTGTTCCCTTACAATTCCATTACTGACGAACACGAGAGTAAACTGCGCCAAATCGCTGCCATAGCTGCGGTATGTCATGCCGAGGCCAACTCACCGAATATCAACTGGAGAGGTGTTCGTTCGGGTACTGGATAATTTCAGCGTTCCAGTACAAAAATTATGGCCAAGGAGGTACAGTTGCCGTTGACGCATATATAAAGGCACGAGCAACGATGCTTTCGAGCAGATAATCACTCTATACGTGAGTGCAATGGTCCAGGTGACAATTGAAACTGTAGAATATTACATTTACTACGAACTGGACGCGAAATTAACGCCGGTTGAAAGCTTATGCCTTCGGAACAGATGCCTTCGGACATACAATACAAATTGAGTTCGATACTCGATTCCGTCTATGGACAGGTTGTAAAAAATAATTACGGAATATTCCCCAACATAGATGTCCAAAAAAATGGCATGGCAGATCGCCGCAATGTGTCAACAAGAAAATTTAGCTCAGAAAATTCGCAGAAAAGTAACAGTGAAGTTATACGTATGCATAAAATCACTCACGAAATTGATCGAAGGACAACGAGTTGAAGATGTCACTTTTCAAATAGTCGCTCTCATCGCGGGAATGCCAATAAAGCATAAAATTCAATCTAAGTGGACAAACTTTATTTCACACAGTGCCTGGGAATTGTTCATGAGATTCAGATTCTTCAATTACGCGCCGAAAGAGAGACATATTGTAGAAATACATTACGAGGCAAACGAAGAGAACTTTATAGGATTACATGAAAGCCTCGCTTCGCACATTCACGCGACACTTTCAATAAAAATGGACAATATGATATATGACATCTTCTACGAGATCGAATGTGGATACTATCCCAATAAAGTCGTGAGGGAACACGATGTTCCTTTGTCCAGAGGAGTAACTCTCACCCCAGTGAAAGACCCTCCGCCTATAATTCGTTATCTGGTAAAACGAGTTGAACTCTTAGGACGTGTCTTTTTGCCATTTAATAATAATAATAAAATTAACGATGAATTTGTTCAAACGGTCGCTCAAGAATGCTTCGGTAAGTATAATACTTCCTCTTTGAAAATTATATCTGAAACTTAAAAGCACGAGCCTCGGGCATACAATTTAGTATATGCAAATTACTCGATTGTCATAAAACAAGTTCTATCGAACGTAAGATGAATTCTGATTTGTATATTGTACATTGATTTCCAATAACAAAAATTTTCTGATAATCTGTCATTTTGTCGAAGTAGACACAACTGAAATGAATTCAAAACACTATGGCATAATACAAATACACATTAATTTTAGCATAATGAAAATGAATAAACCATATACGGTTCTTTTTTTTGCAGATGCACCAAGACCTTCTTTTATAAGAACAAAATAACGACTCAACAATATTTTTAATATGTAACCATACTTTTGATTGATGTTTTTTTTATGTGTCAAAAATTAATAATATCATCTGACTCTACGATAAAAAAATTTTTTTAAATTATGCAGTAACTCTTCTCAGATATTTTCTTATTTGCTATTTCTGTTTGCTTTATTTGATATTGTTCGTTTGAAAAATTTAATAAAGCACAATTTTTCGACTGAAATATATTTATTGGTGTAAATTTAATGATGGCATTCGATTCTACTGTAAAAAAGTACAATATAACATGTATTTACGGAACCAATTATATCTTTATGGCAAAGCTAGCAGCCTATGTAGAGGCATTTGCCAAAAAATGTAGTTTCCAAATTACATCTTTTCAATTTCGTTGGATCCGCCAGGTAAAAGACATTTTTTCAAAAGACACATCCATAATATAGCCCCATGAAAAAGATTCAATCTTGATAAGAATAAACGGATATTCGTCGGCTTTCATCATAAGAAAAAGTAATGTCTCAGATTATGATGAGCGGGAATATTTGTGTCAAATATAATCCTTAACGTGATGTACACGAAGTACACGAATTAACACCTCATAAAATTCATAAATATTTTTCTAAAATAGGATTAATAATTTTTTACAAAAGTAACTACTACTCATTTATATGAAAAAATTTTTTTTCAAATGATCTTAGAAAATATCAATTAAAATAATAGCTGTTCAATTATTCTCATCTGCTACAATCATTATTATCCTCTTTATTGTTCATTATTACATCAATATTTTCTTTCAATTTTGTCTTTAGTGAAAATTAAGTCAGGAAATATTCAAAACATTCACACCTGAATAATACTTCAGTTCTAATTTTACTTTGTTTACGTTATGATTTCTGAAATGTAATGTGTGCCTAGAGACGATCGATTTGCTTAACGTTCGCTAGCTCATTTAAAATCCTACAGAGTAAGAAGCAACACACGAAATTTTTTGTTCTTGAATAAAATGTCTGCACCAGTTGAAGTTGCCTCGAGTTCATCATCGCAGGATATGTTTTCGATCGAGTTGGAAGCCTCACTCGTTCTGTGGATATACCAGGATATTACTCCCGAACACAAGGATAGTTTGTGCAAAATCGCTGCCATAGCTGCGGCATGTCATATCGTAACGAAAGAAGGTATACCAGAAAATTTTGGTAAGTTGCTCGCGTTCGAGCTCTACTCAGGGGCAAGAGGCGAGGACTACAAACCAAGACAGACAAGGGTCGTTGCAGTCAAAAAATGGACGAACAACATGGTCCGCACATTTATCAATAAGAAATCAAGTTTAGCCGAGTCATTGGTCAATATAGAAATTGGAGTAAGACGATATCAAGTTAATTACGTAGTGATGCTAGACTTTCAACCCATCATTGTCGGTAACATGCACGCAGAGAACATATCGCCGGAAAATCTGCTACTTACACTTCCTGCAGATTTTCATAAGATTTTCGAGGATATGAAGACACCACGTTTAGAAACTCAAGGCGGAATAGTCCTCGACACAGATGTCCAAAAAATGGTAGCTGATATCGCCAGAATATGTCAACCAGCTCAAGTTGCCCGGACAATAGAAGGGAAATTAGCAGTGACGTTAGACGTAACAATAAAATTAAACACGGACGTTGATATTGTAGAAAATGATAAAGATTTTATTTCTCGAAGAATTGCTCTTATTATCGTAATGCATCTCTCGCATAAGATTCAATCCCCGTGGATAGATTTCAATTTGCATACCGCTTGGGAATTGTTCTTGAAATTACAAAAGACTAATTACGCTGAACCGTATCGGATGCGGCTGCATTACGAGGTGGACAATGTGAACATAGATGGATCGAGAACGATCGCTTCGCTCTTCAAAGGCAAGTGTTCAATGAGTATGAAAAATAAGTCGCCCGTACTCAATTACAAAGTGAGTTATGCATACCAGCCCAATCCGCCTGAAAGAATTAACGAAGATCTTATGCCCGGGGAAGTGAAATCTCTCGATGCAGTTCCGCTTGATTTTTCTACTATAGTCAAGGAAGTTGAACGCAGGAGATATTACTTCGCAGAGAGATCTAATATCCCTTGGCAAAGATTGGCTGATGAGGTCGCAACAGTCTGCCTCCGTAAGTATAATACTCACTCTTTGAAACCTATGACTGGAATTTAAAAGCATTCAATATGGTGTTACAAGCGTGCGGTCAATTCTGATGCTCGTATCCTACATTGATTTTTAATTACGAAATTGTTCTGATGATCTGTCATATTTTAAAAATAGACACAATTTTAACTATTCCAAATCATTAAGATATTAAATAAGAATATTTAATAAATTTGGAGTAATCAAAATTAATAACCCATGTGTATCTTTTTTACAGCTGCTGAAATGGATTGAAGAGGGCTACAATGTTTGAAATACCATTCATATCATCCAATTTAAAATCAGCCCCTTTCAAAACAATTCATATTTGAAGACATCGAGACTAACTCGTTGAGATTTTGCCATATCCAACGCCTTCCATCCAAAATCAAATATGTCTGATTTAAGAATTAATCTCTCTAATATTTGAAACTTCTTTTATAAGAAAAAATATGAGTCAACAGTGTTATAAATGTGTAACGATACATTAGATTGATGGTTTTTTATGTATCAAAAGATATCGAACTATTTTCCATTTTTACATGCAGATCAATAATCAAAGATGTACTATTTTAAATCGAGTACTCAATTTTCCAAACAATAATTCATTAAAAAAAATTTAAATAATAAGAGTTTGTTCAATAATTTTAACCTTTGAATAAAATAAATTCATCAGCTAAACTTGTCCAAAAAGAATACATACAAAACGAGTCCAAGGCGCAAGAAGTTGTACATTTACGATATGTTAGGACTCCACAGCACGCTGCATTGTTTTACGTAAGTAGGCGTACAACTTTTCATCGTGCCTTCATAAGAAGCACATGATATACTTTTTACCTCATCGCAAACGGCCCGAGTCGAAGATAGGCCCTCTTTTCCTTCAACCCTTGACTTATTATTTTTCTAGCTCGCGCTTATATCCCAAAACTCAATGTCCACATCAAAGTGGAACTCGTATCCGCGCACAAACTTTCGCACGATATATATTGCACGATCGTCGTCGCTCGTCAACCCTCCTGCTAGCGATGCACTGAAAAAAATCGTAGGTGCGAATCCAACAAAAGTGGACAACTGGATCAGAAAAAGATATTTTTCCCACTCTAACCTAAAATACGCAACTTTGCCGCTAATTTTAGGCTCTCGTAGGAAAAAATAGTATCTCAAACTGGTGCAGATATGGTTTTTTAACAAAACTCGTTACAGCACTCGCCTTCGGCTCGTGCTATAATCCCTCGTTTTGCTAAAAAACCATATGTGCACCCGTTGAGAAATATACTATTTGCCTGCAGCAAAATACCTTTTCGTGATTCAGTTGTCCACTTTTGTCGGATTCGCACCTAAGAATTTTTTTCAGTTTATACGAGCTGTGCAGATTATAGCGCTTATATTTCAATTTGAATCAATTGCACTATATAGCATATTCCACGATCTGTACCGTCGAATAGTTCTTGCGTTTGTACACACACACACACACACACGCATCGCGAGAAAATAAGTACAAATACGGACGCGCAGGCTGAAATCCAGTTTGTATTGGCGTGATCGTGCGGCCGCGCGATAATAAATAACGTAACACGGTGTGCAATATAAAGTAGCAATCGACCAACGCACGTTCACCGCACCGGCAACTGCAGCAGTGCTGCTATACGGAACGTTATCTTTTTCCCTCGGACCGTCCGCGTGCAGTTCGCTGCAGAAGGTGCGAGCGCGCGGGTGAAGAGAGAAAGAACGAGAAAAGAGGGTCCTCCGTGGCACACACTGCAAGATATGCCGAGCAAAGTCGCAGCCGATGCGTCGCCTTCGTACACTTACAAATATATTTTATACATATAGGAATACATACAGTTGCTGCTGAGATGCAGTGGCGCCGGCGCGTGGGTGTGTCGTCGCACGAATTCTCCTTATACCTTGGGAAGAGCCCTTTTGTACACGTATATAGCGCAGTGCGCGATATAGTATTGTATTTGTGTGTGCCAGCAGGCCACCGCCGTATGCAGCCTGTGTATATGTGAATAATATATGACATTATAAGAGGGAAATCAAGGCAAGAGAGAGAGAGAGAGAGAGAGACGGAGAGAGTAAGAAACGCTACGCGAAGAAGCAACAATCGATGACGTGAGAAACGACACCGAATTGCCGATTGCGATAAACTACTGTACACGCACTCCGCACGTATATTTGCAGCGGTAGCTACCTACATTATTCCCTTTCTTCTCTTTCCGTCTCGTACGTATACATGAGTAGATATACATAAATAGCCCTTCCTTCGCGATTATCGCACTACAATAAATATCCTGTCTGTCGATGTGTGCAGTCTAAATTTAAAGTGTGCATTAGAGTCTACCTCTCGGGTCACAAGCCCACGTGTTGCTGTACAAATGCAGTCACGAGACATTTTTAATGGGTATAATAAGATTTTTTTCTTCGAGTTTCATTATTACGCGCGCTTATCGTCATCTCGAGAGCACTGCAATGTCGATCGGTATTGAGGGTATAAGCAGCTCGCGTAGTTAATATAATATACGGCACGTGGATCAAAAGCTCGAATCAAAAATTATGTGCGCACAAGTTGGGCTTTGTGTCGCTTAGCGAGTGAGAAAGAGAGAGAGAGAGAGAGAGAGAGAGAGAAACTGCACCTCTTGCGGTATTATTATAGTAGCTCGCTGCGCTCGTACTCGCGCACACATGCATTACAAATAAAATACGTAAATTCCGCTTAGCCCCGAGACTTTAATAGCTAAGGATTTATGTAAATAGCTGTACACACACACACGTGAATCATTCTTTAGTCGAGACGAAAATCTCGATCGCATGCACACAAGAGCGAGGTGGGTCACCAAAGACCTTTTGTGCTATTGCAGCTATGCGCGTACAGAAACACACACGCACACACAAACACATACTTGCGCTGGTCGAAATGAAATAGCAAGTTTACCAAAGCCGCGCGTTTTACCGTTACTTCATACGATAATATATAAGTACTTGAGTGCATGAACATAGGTGAAGTTGGCTTTGGTCCTCTCATGGTGTGTGTATGTGCAGTATGAGAGAGAGTGAGTGTGCATCGTGTTGTATACACATCGCGAGGCTTGTGCAGTCGAATAAGGCGCGGGACATGCTAATTATACCTAAAGCGAATTTTATTTTTACTTTTCACACGTCTCTCCCTCTCAACGAAATTCTGCCTGCCATGTGTGCAGAGAGTTACGAAGCTCCAGGCACACACTAATACACGCGCGTTGTACACAGCAAGTGAAAGGATTTCGACACACACACACACACACAGCCACACACAAGTGAGAGAAGTAATTCATAATTTTCCATACGCGTATACGCGAAGATGTATAAGCATTATGCCATATAAAAATTTAGAAACAAGCCATAAATTGTGCACGTATGCGCGGCCGCGCTCGAAGCTCCGCGATATATAATACAAGCGCGCATATTACGAGCTTCTTGTACGAACACTCATAATACGCAGAGGCCCGAGAGAGAGAGAGAGAGAGAGAGAGAGAGAGTGAGAGAGAGTAAGAGAGCGGAGCACACGTGCTCGCGGCCGAGTATTAAATATCGGCGCTAATATATTTATCGCGCGCGTCGCGTACATTTACTGCACCTTCTCTTCACTCCTGCTGCAGCAAGCACCTATGGAACGAGGTGTGCGTTCCGCGCGCCGGTGTTATAATATATATATACGTGTAGGCGCGTTACTTCACACGTGTCGTCGTTTACGAGCGCCGCGAGAATGCATTAATTAACGGCTGCGGCTGCAGCAGCAGCAGCGGCAACAGCAGCAGCAACAGCAGCGCATCGACGATGCATAATAATTATTATTGGATAGATGTATTATACATCGAGCCGCGTATACGTGCGCAATACAGAATCAATTTCGTTTTACCACACACCGCGCATTTGCATAATCTTAAATGTGTGTGTATATGGTTTCGTGAGCGAGCAGTTCTCGAATTTAATGCATAGCGCATGAAGCAGTTGCTGTTGTTGTTGTTGTTGTTGTTGTTGTTGTTGCTGTTGTAGTATACTGGCAATGGTTTGTCATGTGCGCATAGAGCAATTCAAGCCAACAATATAGAGTTGATCGAGTATATGAATGCGCTCAACGCAAGTTGAGAAAAGCACCAATGTAATATGTGCGGCAGGCTTGGGCATAATGAAGGATTTTCATCTCCGATACATATTTATGGACACGTGTACGTCGAGTTTTATGAATTTTGTACATTTTAATTCCATATCGTTATTAAAAGAACTGGACAAAGTTTTTTTTATACTGTAAATCGCTTCATGATTATGCTTTGACTTATACAATTTTGTTGACTTATAAAAAACATGTTTTGACTTTGTCACTTATAGGTTTTATAGATAAAGGTACTCGCCATCTAGTGGTGGAAGCTATCATTAATTTTTAACGGAGATTCCACGTGAAATTATCTCAAATAAAATCCAGTATTTGAATTTTAATGTCTGTCTTTACATTGAATATGCACTGGATTCAAGGTTTTTTTTCAACAGTGCACTCTCTCGGGCGATCCTGCTGCACCACGTGGTGATTCGATATTGCTTCTGTACATGGCATGCATATAGCTGTGTACAGATATAGAGGTTGAGCCTCACGGCCATGGGTTTCTCACGCTGCGCAGCCAATATCCGAGAGAGAGAGAGACTAGATACAGAGCCGTATATTCACGCATTAATCGAAAACTTAGTGGCAGCGCGTCGTAACGCACCGCAGAGTACCTATATTGCACGTGCAAGTGCGGCTATGTATAGAGGCTCTTGGCTGATAATAGTGCTGTACAGCATCGTCGTCGCCGTTGCTGATGCCGCTGCAGCTGCTGTCGCGGTACAGATGTATACGTACACGTATAATATGCCTTTTAAGCTCGGTCTAAACTTCGCAGAGAGGCATTCGACACATCGACGTTTACTATACACAAGTACTGCACACCGTCCTACAGCAGCAGAAGCAGATCGGTGTATCTCGCTCGCGGTGAACGTAACTCGCCAGTAGTACAGTTTAACTCCTTCGTACTTCTGTGTATGTGTTTCAGATTGAAGGGAGACTGACGGAAGGCTAAGGTCGAGCGCGGAAACCGATTTGAGATAAAGCCAAATAAATAAGAGCGTCAAGTAAATCATTTGTCAAGATAGCAAGGGAATCGTTTCGAGCTACCTGCGAGCCCTAAGTAGTCGTGATTCGTGAATGTATTTCTCCTCGAACTCGAAAAATAAATTTGAAAAATGTATCCTTTCACAAATTCAAAGTTTGTGCGTACGCAAAACGAAATAAATCTTTCCATGGTTGCTTCAATCTCTCACACATCAATAAAGCTTTTGTGAAGGAGAGATATAAAAAAAAAGAAACGAACTCTTTACCGCGAGCAGTCAACTCTTGCACCTTCGTGACATTACTTATTGACCGTGGAAATAAGCTCTCCTATTCCTGGCCTCGCTGCAAATTACCGGTATATCGCAGGCCGATTACATCGATGTATACAGAATAATATACGTATATACAATCGGCCAAGGTGCGCAGAGCAGCGCGCGATAAATAAATAAATATAATATCGGCGAAATAAAGACGCACGAGCACGTGTGTTTATGTATCACACGTATACACACAGAGACATAATGGAGCTTGATGAGATTTTGCTCGGTTCGGTGTGTTGTGCTACCTACTCTACTGTAACCGACTTTATGTAGAGAAATTGCGCAATTATCGTAGACACTCTTATGTATCTGACACACACATATATACAGATACATGCATGCATCGAGGAACGCATGTGAGAGCCGATAATCTCCATGTACTTGCACGAAAGAAATCAGTGCTCGACGTGTGCCAGTGTTCGAAATTACTCCGACACTTCGATCCATAAATCTGTACTGCACTACGTGCGTTGTGTTTAAGCAGACTACTACTACTGCATACGCATTTAGTTCGTTCTGTCTCTACTTCACAATTATGAGCTGCTCGCGCGACGCGAATGCTTAGAGTTTATTGCAATGAATACACACAATTTTAACGATGCATGCACTATTATTCGAATCGCAAAGTGTAATGCGAATACCGAAAAAAAACGAATCTAAAAAATGTTTGCATCGAGCCCGCACGTTATCTTATCTTTGTTTTTCGTTGCGGGCTATTTTAAATTTTGCCCTTTTGACCAGTTCACGTATGATACAAACGCATTATTAGAAAGTACAGCTGTTGTCGCATCAACTTGCTTGCATTTCATATACTTTCACTTTGTACCGCCAAGTTTTACTATTTTGCTTGAAACTATGAGTACGACGTAAGTTGTATAGGAATTCTTCATGATCGAGCCAAACGCATCTCTTTTCATTTGGTCTGAGCTTCGTGTTCGCTTCCAGCTATAAGCTGTGTGAGTTATGGACTAAACTTCCAATTTCACAAAATTTTCATCTATAATATTTCTCTTTTCTATTTTCCCGCAAAAACTCACTTTATTCGCCAAATGAACCTATTGAATTATGCTCAACCTTTAGTTTTAAATCGAGCACGTCACAGACTTGATTATACATCGTACAACCTTTCGTTCTTAGTCGAGCGCATCAAAGACATTTTCCAGAGTACTCTTTACAAGTAACATACTCTGTTTAAATTTCTCATTTCAACATATCACCCTAACTGTGGTTTAGTCCGTATACGCGACAGGGGAGCTCCAAAATCGATAATCTATCACATGCACAAGCCGTGCATCGTAAAAATAGACCATAAAACTTGCGGTATTATTGCACGCGTACTTTAATATTCAGGTAAATCGATGCCCTCGCAAGTACGTAATACATAGATTGCACTCCACTGGCAGCTCCGGTCGTAGAGCGTCGACTCCAGAGTGAGACAGAGAGATCGACCTAACGGTTACGTGTCGCGCGCGCGCGAGCTTTTGCTTGCGGTAGTGGCCGAGAGCAGCGATCGACGTTCATTATTATACATGCCTCGACGCGTAGCGCTGTGTGTAACGCGCGCTTCGTCCGGAAATCCTGCCGGTCGGCCGCGCGGTTGCATCGCCCCGGAATACGGATAAGATATTCGACCCAACCGCGCGCGTTGGCCGGGACACTCGATGCACACGTATATATATGCGCGCTTCGAAGCGCGCACAGAAGCTTTCGGGCATTCGACGAGAGCCGTTGGACGAGCGTAATTATATTTTTATACCACACGTAGAGAGATAAATAGCCGCAAGTACAATCTCTATTTTCGCTTTTAGCCCTTTCATCCTAGCAAGAAAATTTTCTCTTTTTCCGTTGTTAGAAAAACGTCGCGATTGCACGTCAATACACACACACACTTCGGAGTCGCGGGAGGAGGATGACCTATACACAATACAGCTCGTGCGCTCAAACAGTAGCAATAAAGTGCCGAGGAGAGGAGAGTTGCATTTATATGTATATGGCTGCACAGCAGTCAACTTCTTGCGGCACGTCGCGTACAAGCAGCAGCGGCGGAAGAAGAAGAAAAAAACTTCTTCGCGAGAGACATAAGATAATAAGCACGCTTCGTCCACGCGCTCGCGCATATTGTATTCCCATTTACGGAGTCCGTGTAATACTTTGAGCTTTTCTTTGTGGGCTCTCTCTCTCTTTCTCTTTCTCTCTATCTCTCTGCGAGGGTGGTATGTTATAAATGCAAGAAAACGATTCTCAACTCTCCAAGCGAGCATCGATTGATAGTTTCTGGATCTATTTTCAGTGTATATAAAATATACACCGCAGGCGTTGAGTTCAAGCCTCTTTTCTCCGTCACGTGTGCTTCGCAATGGATCGTGACACGAGCACGCACACACACATCTAACAGTCATATACATGGTATACGCGCTGCGTGTGTAGGTTGCTCGAGCGACTTGCATAACAACGCAATATAAAGAGAATATGTATATGCACAAAGAAAGGGACAGACAATGTTGCGCGCGTGCACCACTCAGAAGTACAATATAAACGAGAAAATAACACTTTCTTACAGCCTGCTTTAGCGCCTGTAGGAAATGGCTTTGCGCTTTTGGCACCCACGCGCGCGACGTTACAATATCAACCATGCGCCGTTCATGCTTTCGCTCAATTTCATAAAGCACGCAAAATTGCCAAATTTTTCCTCGTGTGCTAAGTAGATTTTTATATGATAAGCAAAATATGATAAACAGATCGATAATTAGGATGAAATTGCAATCAGAGCCTAGTTTTTTAACATTTTTTTCTAAGGGAGTTTAACAAATACATCATGTTAATAATTATACGTTAATTAGAAATGGGCACTTGGTATTTTATCTATTTGCCTCTGATTATGATGAGAGGGAATATCTGTATCAAATGTAATTCTTAACGCGATTTGCACGAAATACGTTAACTAACACTTCATAAATTCTATCTTTTGTAAAATAGGTTCAATAATTTTTTTCAAAAGTAACAACAAGGCATTAGTATGAGAAAAAAAAATACGATCACACGAGATATCGATAAAAAACTGGTCAATTCTTTGTCTGTTATAATCATTATTATATTTATATCGTTATAACTGTAAAATTATTACATCAAGATTTTCATTCGATTTTGACTTTAATGAAAAGTAAATTGGGAAATATTCAAAACATTCACATCTAAATAATACTTTAGTTCTAAGTTTACTTTGTTTACGTTATGATTTCTGAAATGTAATCCGAGCCAAGAGTCGATCGAGTTGCTTCACGTTTTCTCTTTCTGTTTCCAAGGAAGTAAGAAGCAACACCAAATTATAATTTTCGGTAACGTCTTACCGATTTGAATTTTTAATAAAAAATGTGTAAGCCAGCTGAAATTGCCTTGTGGCCATCATCGCAGGAGAAGTTCTCGGTCCTGTGTTTAGCCCGATTCCATCTGTGGATAGACCAGCCTATTCCGACTCCGGAACACAAGGATATTTTTTGCAAAATCGTTGCCATAGCTGCGGCATGCCAGGTCGTGCCCGAAGGATGTATCACGTGGAAAGAATTCAAAATGTTTCTCGCGTACGAGATATACTCGGAGATCAAAGACAAGGAGTACGAACCAAGAAAACAAGTTAACTTTATGATAAGTAAATGGGCGTACGACGTTATTAACACGTGGCAGCTACAATTGATGACAAAGAACGTAAGTTATTTGGTCCAAGTGGAAATTGGAACTACACGATATCAATTTATGTATGAAGTGATCCTGGAATTTATACCGTTCGCTGTCGGTAACACTTCTGAAGGAAGCGAGGATTTATCACCCGAAGGTCTAATGCGTCAACCCCCTAGGGATTTTCGTAAGATTTTGAAAAATATTTTGAAAAAGTTAAGCAGTTGTAACGCAAGTATTACCGCCCAAAAAATGGTAGACATAATCGCCAAACTATGTCAACCGAAAATAGCTCAAGTTGAGGTGGTACCTGCGAAAAAAGTAACAGTGGAGTTGAGCCTTCGCATAAAATCGCTCAGGAACAGTACCACGTCTCTGCCACTGAATAGAGATCTTTTTGCTCAAAAAATCGCTCTCATGGTAGCATTGCCTCTCGATGCGCAAACTCAGTGGTCGGATTTTAGTTTGTACACCGCCTGGGAATTGTTCTTGCAATTAAGATCCTTGGATTACGAGCCGAATAAGGATTATTGGATCAATCTGCATTATACGACAGACAAGGTGAACGAAGAAGCGTTGCTGAACAACGTCGCTTCGTACTTTTGTGCGACATTTTCAATACGTATGATAAAGAAGATTTATGAATTCACGTATGAGCTCAAGTATGTTTACCATCCTACTGCGATCCCAATAGCAGAAAACGTTCCTTTGGCCCTGGAAGTACCTCTCACCCGTTTAAATGAGCCTCCACCTCTATTCTGCCATGTGGTCAATGAAATTAAAGCCGAGAAATCTCACTTCACAAGGCATGGTTGTAGTGTCAATATGAATGACCTGGCCAAAGTGGTCTTTCAAAAATGTCCCCGTAAGTATAATCATTTACTCTTTGAATATGCATATTTATCGATTGTCATTACACATACTGCATGGAACGTGAGATAAATTTACTATATTTTACTGATCATTTGTCATTTTTTTAAAATAGACATAATTAGAACAACTTCAAATTTTTATACGATTTCATGAAAATGTACAGCAAAAGAGCAATGAAAATTAATGACCGGTATGGTTCTTTTTTACAGATGCTGTAGAATAAGAGGGTTAAAAAGTTTGATGTACAATCCAATTCAAAATCAGCTACTTTCAAAACAATTCAAATTTAACGTGGTCGAGATTATCCAACGTCTTCTACGCAGGATCATAGATGTCTGAATGGTTTAAGAATAATTTTCTCAAATATTTGACACTTGTTTTAATTAACGAAAAAATAACGACTAAAAAATGTTTCTAATGTGCAAGCACACATTTGATTATTTTATTTTTTATGTAACAAAAGATATAGAATTATTTTCCACTTTTACATTCAGACCAATAATCCAAGATGTAGTATTTTAAGGTTTAATTATGTACATATAATTCAACTAAATTATGTACATTATAATTCTATGATCAATCATCCATTGAATTGAATTAAATTATTAAAAATCTGTTCTACAATTTTATCTTACAAATAAACTTATTCATCAACTAAACTTGTTAAAAAAAATTATGTACAAAAGGATCTGCCTTTATTTCCGGTAAGTTATGATCGTAGACAATGGAAATCAAATGACAGAATGTTGAAAATTCAATGTTTGACACTTGTTTTCCATGTGCGGAAACAATTGTTAGAACTGATACTACGATGAGAATTTTCCACAAAAAAGTAAATTTTAGTTGATTCATAAATTTGAATTTCAAAAACATCCAAATCATTGACTCGTTCACTGATTCAGATTAAGGTGCTTTTCATAAAAGCCCTAGCCAATCAAAGCGTGCTAAAAACTCGATTGTATATAATATACTTCGAATAATGCAGATATTTTTTTCGTGGTTTTACGCCTCCACTGAAACAAACTTGATCTGATATTAAGCATCGGGCTTCGCATCGATCTCGCGCACAGCAGCAAATGTGCTGACGTATCATACACTTCCGTACAGCAGCATATAGAACGCGACGATTGCATTCGGATTCGCGCGCTTTCCAATATGTACGCGTGAATTTTTATAAATAAATATATATACCTATTACTACGCGCACGATCGTCTGGCTGCTCTTTTTTCTTCTTCTCTATCTCTCCGATATACCCTGGAGAATACAACGACGCGCGCACGTTGCGAGTTCCAAAGGAAAATAAGAACCCGCGTGCGCGATTTTTTCAACTCTGTCCCATTGGCGATGCTGCGGAGCTGTTTCTCGCCGCGGCTATTTGCGCGCACGCGGCTTCTCCTCCGGGACTCTCTTTCTCTCTCTCTCTCTCTCGAATGCAATGATTGAGATATCGCGCGAATATGTATACACAAGCGCGCGTGTTTGTTTGTGTTGTTTGTATGTGCAGCAGCATATCCGACTCCTTTTGCGCCAGTCCGCGCGCGCGCGCGTGATTGCATTTCTTTTGACACGCGCCGCTCGCTCTCGCACTCGCACTCGCATGCTGATAATTGAGCTTTTTCTCCAAATAGCTTCGAACGAAACGAATGTGGACACGTCTGTACTTTTGCGTGTACATGTATGCGAGTTTTATGCGCAACGCCGCAAGTATATACGGAATGTATTATGTATACCACTATGAATTGCAGTGTTATAATATGCGCGCGAGAGCGGCCAAGTTAGATTGCGAGGCTTATCTATTTTCGCGCAAACAAAAAAGAAGAAAGAAGAAGAAGAAGTAATGTCTCGAACCGAATAGTAAAAGATAACCGTGGGAGTCGTAGTGCTCGTGTATACCTTTGTACTGCTGCTGCTGCACTCTCGACCTGAGCGAGTAATTTTTTTGTTCGCGGCTATATAGCTCCTCGTCGCCTATTACGATATGCGCTAGATGCGGCGCGCTGAGAAATGAAGCGAAGGGATATCTCATAAGTATAATATAACGGCGTTCGCGCGCGCGCGAGCTCGCTCGTATAATTTGCATAAACAAATCGCGACGCGTAAATCACATCGCACTTGTGCGTGAGCTGCTGCTGCACCGCCACTGCCTCGCGTATGCATAAATATAAATAAATAAATAAATGAATGAACGAGATTTTTTGAAGTTAATCCCGCATTGTCATCGTTGTCCGAATGATTTATGGGAATTGACGCGCCCCCCGTGCATACACGCGCGGCACAAAATAAAACGAGTTCATTTCAATTCATCCATCAGCCCGTAACTACGCGTAGGATATATATAACACACGTTAGGGCCCAAGTTGGAAATCAATTTGTCGTCGCCTCTCGCGCGCGTCGACGTATATACAATACACATTATACCTGCTCGCCGCAACGAGCTTCGAAGTTGACGCGCGCGACTCATCCGTACGCTCTGATATACATTTAAGCGAATGCGCGCGACACAATGTATTATATGTAAAGAAATGAAAATGCGGCGTGCGATACGAGTCCTGTGCGCAGCTCGGAGGTAATTTCGTGCGCGCTTACGTGCGTATTGTATTGGCTTGATTTTCTCTCTTCGCGTTCATGAATAATGCACTATAAATACGGAATCGCGGCCGATCGGAGTGCGCAGATGGAACGATCTCAAGGTAAAACGAAGGCGAAGTGGAGAAAAAAGAAGAAGAAGAACAAGCCGCAAACGAATTGTTTCTGCGACTGTTGGACCGAAAAGTATGTAAAGTATGCCACACGCGATTACCACACGCGGTCGGCTGCACGAAATCCTCTTGAATTATTCTCTATCAACACACTCGAAGACACTTGGAAATTTAGCTTGCGCACTCGCTAATGCAATGGAAAAGTCAGTTCGAGTGATGGACAATTTCCAACTTGTTTATCATGCATATACGTTGTCAGAGGCATGATTTTTCTAACCGAATCTAAATTCCAGACGAACGCTCACTTCCTGCCTTGCCTCTCCGTTGTGTGTGCAGCAGCAGCAGCAGCAGAGCTCTTTGAATACAATGCAGAGCGTCGAGCTGTCTTATTATACGCGCAGGTTGCATTCGATTGCAATTCTCGCTACGCAACTTCTCAATTTCCTTTCTTGCCACTCGGGTACGTATACCTCGTGCTTACAATACGATATATACGCGTACCCTACGCGCGTATTACCGGGCCTTTTTTCGCACGATATGACGCACGATGCAGTGAAAAATGCAACCTATGAATTATTATACTCGACTTTGATACCGTCTTTGTGATTGTCGAATCACGAGCTCCAATAAGTGTCACTTGAACTCCGAATTGCTCCCCCGAATTTCTCCGCGTCATCTTCGTTACGCTCTCTGATTCTCGAAAGCCAACTTTTCGGAAGTTCGGAATCAAACGGCGTGCAAAATAAAGCAAATGGTATGTGTGTGTGTGCCGCGCAATGCAGAGCATGTATAGCTATGTGACATTTGCAGCGAGCGAGAGAAAGAGAGCAAGGTGCGACAATAGTTAAGCATACAATGTAGTAGCCGCTTTAATGCTTTTTAGAGGAAGTTAAAGGATCCGGTCTAAAAAATGAAAAAAAAAACTCTATACCAGCGACCGATCTCAATGGGTATATAAGACAAAGAGAGAGAGAGAGAGAAAGAAGCTCGCTGAAAATAAAAACGGGTGCGATGTATAAACGCCTTCGTAATAATATAACTCGCGCGCGCGCGCGCCTCGATGTACGATCAAAAAAAAAGGTCCGCATCCGCTCCCTCCCTCTCTCTTTCTCTCTCTTTCGCGTCTATATCATACACAGAGGCCCTGCAGTTTATTGACCGGACAATAGATTTCCTCCGTAGACAAAATTAGTATTATTATTGGACCAAATGTTTGGCTGGGACTCCTTCGAACTACATGGGAATCTTTTTTTTTTTAAACCGTCAGATTGCATGTACAAAGTGGCTATGCATGTGTGTTCACAGACGGCATGTTGCAGGGAACGTGCCAAAAAGCTCGGCGGCCAACACGCGTTTGTATACGGAGAGATCAACCGTCCACTGCATTACTTATCAGGTAAGAGGTTTATTAAAGTTTAGTAATCGTAAAAACAGTTTCACAAGATATTATATTTAGATGTTTCAAAAGTTTCCAACCAATTTTAGGACCACTTTAAATGTGGTTATTTTACTTAAAGCTTTCACCAGTAGATGGCGAATACCTTTATTTGTAAATCTGCAATTGGCAAAGTTGAAATGGTTGTATAAGTCAAATTAATTGGATTGCTTTGATTGTACTTGCTCTTCATATTAGATGATGAGTTTTAGACGGTAAATAACACGCGATAAAGCGCTAAGAATTTTTACCAAGGATTAAATCTCACATCGTTTCACACCTTTAAAAAAAAACAGGTCGAGATCGGTGTCTCGAAAGTTTCCAGATGCCCGTCAAAAGACTGTAAGGCAAATAGCGCGATGAACTTTTTTTTCCTCGGAACATTGGACTTGAAGCAAGTACATACAACAGCAGGCACCGAGAGAAGAATAGCCGCCGCCGCCGCCGCGACCACGTTTCTCTCTCGCGAGACTATATATCGATAGGTTAAAAACAGGCTCCTAGGAGAAGAATAAGAGGGTAATTCAAGTGAATGAATGCGGCAGCCGCGGCGGAGAGAAGAAACAGCAGAGCGCTGCAATGTCGGCGTCGGTGCAAGCCAGTTTTATCAGAAATAATGGTTCTCCTTAATCGTAGCAAAGACCAGAAGCGGACGTATCGGACTTGTCGCGCGATGCGAGTGCCTCTGTGTACGCGCGCACTCCCGAAGCGGAAGTCCGCGAGCCTCGTCGCGCCGATGGCAGTGCCTTTACACAGACACAAACATGTATAGCCAACGTATATGTATACGATGCACTTCTTTACTTTTTCTCTTTCTGTGCACACTGTTCCCGTATACGAGCATGTGCTGGTGGCATGTGCATGTGTGCGTGTATACGTGTATATCTGCAGCCGGTCTCCTCTGTATTATACGCGCTGTACCCTCGTTCTTCTTTGTTATCTTCTCCGTTGCATTAGCTCTTTGTAGCCAAGTCTCGCGCGCACGTCCTCGTTTCTTTCCTCGTACTAGTCGTCGTCTCTTCGTTTTTTTTACCCTCGGCCTTTCAACTCGCCGTAATCGCCAATTGATATGATATAAAAATAATTGTATTCTTTTCGTATGGGCCATTATATCGAGCTTCTGTATGCGATAGTAACTGCGCATCCCATATAAGCCGTACCGTGTACGTGCTAATGCCTTAACATATAAATTTAAATAGTCATGCATTGGAAAAAAAGGTTATAAATAGCGATCGGCAGTTGGATCCTTCGAATACGTTTTCGATTTTCGAAACGATCGTTCATGTGTGTGTTATAATACCGGCACGTTTGAGAAATTAAATATCTACACGTACTGTACATATTACAAGCGCGCATCATGTGGCAAATTTCACGTGACACGCGCGCTCGTAAAAAAGGGCACATATACACACACTCTGGACGTGCAGCCATAATTCTTGCACGCAACTATATACTCGGAATGCATCGGGCGCAAATGCATTATGTGTAT